TTTTTTTTTTTTTTTTTTTTTTTTTTTTTGGAGCAACTCAAATTCATTCCAAATGAGAGACAGACAGAGGCCTGCGAATACACCTCAACAACACAACCCGGTACATCAAACATACTCGGGCCATTACCCAGCTGTGGGCTTCTGGAAACCGGGTCCAGTGTCCCTCCTCTAAAGTACTCCAAAAAAAAGAAACCAAAAAAGGAATGGAAGGCTTCTGCCAAGCAGATTATCTAATCTCTTCTTCCGAGCCATGAATTAGCAGATATGACTCAGACTAAAGCCCTGTGTCTGAGCTCCTATCTACTTCAACTTTCTTTAGTCCTATAGCCCAACAAACTACAGCCTCAGAAGGAAGGATAACTCCACAAAATAACCCTGAAGCACAGAAAATGGTGGCTAAACTAATCATAGCAACAATACTCCATTCCTCCGGCCAATCTCAGGAAAGTGCCGTCGTGTTTCTAGGGTCGAAGCACTAATGGCAAGGACCATCAAACTATATTCAGCAAATCTCAAGGAGGCACAAGGCAATTCACGGCGATTATGCAGTTTTAATCCGATAATTATTTCCAAAAGCAAATTAAATTCTCCAATACAATTCACCTCTAAATTTTCAAGACGAAAGCTCACTGAATATTAAACTAGATATAACTAATATCAAACGAAATATCAAGAGAAAGAATAGATTAAAGACAGGCAATCCAACTTCCACGATCTATCAAACTACAAGGAAAGGGGCTCAATGACTAAGAACTGGGAGGGAAGACAAACAATCCAAATTCCACGATCTATCAATCTACAAAAAGAGAGACTCAATGGCTAAAGGCTGGGAGGGCTAGGAAAACCTAAACAGTCGATAGATGAAGATTATTTTACCCTCGCACCCGTGAAACGATCCCACCACCACTAGTGAGTCTCCCACTCCCGCTTGTGGCGCCGTCACCCAACGGGCTTCAGGGCTTTATAACTATCCAGATACCAAAAACCTGCGAGACAGCAGACTAACAGAGCGATCTCAATGTCTGAGCGCTGGGCGGGAGGACTGGGCATTAGGGTCACTCTCTCAACCTCACATCCCAAAACGCTGTAAAGAGCCTTTGTTTCCTAGACGGGTTTCCCACCACGCACCCAATGGATACAACTCTACTTTGCTCTTCACTGGGTCCCACATATCAGCATACCCTGTGAGTATAACCCCAAATCACTGCGAGCATACTCCCGCTCTTAACAATATCGAGCAACTGTAATATTCCATCTTACGTAAGGCCTCAATACTATTACCAGCAATAGACGAGGACACAGCCCTACCGGAATGAACAGTAAAGCATTTAACAGAAAACTACGCAGTACATATCTACTGCGAGGACTATAGTCCAAAGGTCTAACGAGGAAAACTCAGTAACAAGAAGTAAAAAGGAAGGGTGAACATCAGGGTAATCCACACATCAACACACAAGAGATGAAAAGGATGGATAAACATAAGGGTGATCCACACATCAACACTGACCTAAACACTGTAAAGAGCCTTTGTTGCCTAGACGGGTTTCCCACCACGCACCCAATGGATACAACTCTAGTTTGCTCTTCACCGGGTCTCTTGTATCATCCCAACCCCATGGACCTCACCCTAAATCCATTGCAAACCAAATTAAACGAAAAATGCCTTGCGATGAAGGTAGGTCAAACGAGACTTGCTGCAGCCGCAAGCCAAGTTAAGTGAAAACTCAGCGTGTGAAGACATCATACTGCCTCGCGACGAAAGTAGGTCAAACAAGACTTGCTGCAACCCTTGAATATGCCGGAGCGCTGCCACCGTAGCCGCACGCTCTCCCACTGCATCCAGGTACGCCGCTCCGCCTTCTGTGCTTTCCTTCTAATCAAAGCAGTCAAGATGACATGTCTTAAAGTGCCACGCGCGGCCTTTAGGTGTTAAAAAAGGAGCCCCCCTTTTCCAGCAGAAAGCTTGAGGGGAAGGCAGCTCCTCTGGTATCGAGGTCTTGTGAGGTCTGTAAGTTGTTGTAGAGGTCGGATATGGAGCTGCCAGGATGCCTTGGCATACGAGTGCAAAGGCACTCCCTACCCACTCAAGGGCTAGGCTATGCCAGGGCACTGTCGCCATAGCTCTCACACAGCTATGGTGCCTGGCAGGGTAGGTGCCACGCAGGAATGATAGCACCCGAAGCTCAAACGCCCCACCTACACAGCCGCGGCTAACGGGGACCGGGCGCCGCCACCGCCGCTGTCGCCGCTGCGTTAGCGCACACTCGCGCGGCCCCCCAAACTGAGCAACTTTAGCCTCAGGGTCACATCGAAATTCTTTGCCAAATTAGAAATAAAAATAAAAATAAAAAAGTAGTTTTTATTTTTTTATTTTTTATCTTTTTTGGCCCGCCGGGGCAAGTGGTCCCAGGCCACTCTGGCAGCCTAGCTGGGCAAACATTTTTTTTTTTTTTTTTCCTTTTCTCCCGTCCTTTTTTCTCCCCCCGTTTTTTTGGATCAGATATTGAACTGATCAGAACAGATACTACACTTTATCAAGTTTATCTTAGCCAAAAGGCCGAGAAAGGTATTGGCAAGCATTTTTGACTTGGCAAGCAATTTCGACTTAGCAAACGATTTTGACTTGGCAAACAACTTTGACTTGGCAAGCACTTTTTGCTTGGAAAGCAACTCTGACTTGGCAAGCAATTTTGACTTTGCAGTTTTGAGTCTTTTGTTTTGGTAGGCAATCCGTTTTTAGGCAAGTTTTGATTGGTAGGCAATCCTAATTTGACCAAGCAATTCTTTTTTTTCCCCTGTGTCTTTGGTACTTTTGTTGTAGTAGTTTAGTAGCCATTTTGTCTGCTGTGCTTGAATATTCCTTTCCAGTTTCACAGGTCAGAAGAAGATGTGTGACCTGTTGCTATGTTCTTCCCCAGAACACAACAGCAGGCTCATCATGACTTATCAGACAG